ATAATAATAATAATACGTTTTCTCCAAGAAAACTCCATATTTTCCCTTTAAACACGTTTGGTTAAATTACCCACAATCCTGTGCTGCATCACGATCACTGCTTCCTGACCAAACACCTCCTCATCCAGGAACAAAAACATTAACTAGAAGGAAATAAACGTCTGTTAATGTCGGACCGATTGGTAATACTGACACTGATGTGTTTAAAAATGAAAAAAAATCAGCCACCAGCAATGGTAGCTCCCATATCTGCATCGCTGGTTATAAGATTCTGATTCATGTTGCCTCTTTAGGCGCTCATATTGGATCAGGACCTGGTTTCTAGTTGAGGAAATGCTCATTAATCGGTGTTGCTGCATTTTACGTACCTGATTTCATCAGAAACTGATGCCTTTATTTAAAATTGCTGATTAAAATTCTTCGTACAGTAAAACTAAGCCCAGAGCATTTTCTCTTTGTATTAAAATGCAACAGAGAAAAAGGGGTTTGAATCTCAGTAACCTGATTATCATGTAAATGTGCCTAAACCAGCTTAACAGAAAGGCTCTGCATTAAATCAAGGAGGAAATCTGGGAGTAAAAGCGCGGCAGAGCAGGTCTGAGGAGACTTTTCTGCGTTCTTCTCAGGGTTAGTCAGTCAACCAGCCAGAAATCGCTTTCAAATACAATCACACGCTGCAGTGACCACGACACACACCCTGAGCTGGATGATAGCTCCGAGAAATGCCTTGTGGCAGCTCTGCAGCTCATACACACCAAAACGGTGCATTTCTACAGGAGGGTCAAAGTTCTGCATTAAATATCAGCATGTAAACACGCTCGGATGTCATGTTCTGGACCATTACATTCACACTGGAGCTCAGAGCTGGTTGCTGGATGTAATTTAGAGGAAAGCGCTGCGAAAAGACTGAATCGAACAGAACCATGAATCAGCAGTTTGGAAAAGTCCAGTCGGCGGTTTTTCCTCAAGGCCCGCAGACGGCGATGGGGAACAGGAAATAAAAACAGAGAAGTCAAACATATTCTACAAGCAACATCCTGAACGCCTCATGAATCCCCCTCTGAATAAATGAAGCCAAACCTGGAATCACCCCATCCATCATCTGATCACTGATCGAACCACAACAACAATCCCTACTTTGAATTCATGTGAGCGGCTCACCTTTCAGGACCTGCCATGGATCTGACTGGAATATAAATGATGGACAGTTTGGTTTTATTTCTGGTTGAATCGGGTCTGCCTGCTGAAATAACCAGAACAGGTTTCACTAAACAAATATTTGCTGGTATAAAACCAGAGGTAGGATGTAAATATGTGCATTTACTAATAAATGTATAATAATTTTACTCTTACCTGAGGAATATCGTTTAGAAGAAACGCTACTATTACCTCTACTGCATTTACTTCATGAATGACAAAAAAATTAGCCAGAAAAACAAACTTTACTTTAAATTGACTTCCTATCATTTTATGGTAAACGGTGGAAACTTTGGAAATGTTTCAGTCCTTCACTCATTTCCTTTTATTTCTTCTATTTTCTTTTTTCATGGTGTTTTAAATCTTGAATTTTATTATTTAAATCCCAGAGCTTGTGTGTAACTTCACACTCTTAGAGGGGGTATTTCTTCACAGACGATGCTTTTTAAAGTCGTAGGGAAACGGCCGTTCCAATGGTTTCTCCCGAATTCTCGTTAGTGGTTCACGACTTTACACAAGTAAATAAAGTTAATTTGATTGGTCGTTTATCAAGGGGGCGGGGTTGTTGTGACGGAAGGTTCGCAAACAAGTTTGGTTGTGGCCGGTTTCTCTGAAGCATCTTGCTAACCAGTTAGCAACTTAGTGCTAGTAGGTTCC